GTTTGGTCGTGAGCACAATATGTACTGCCCAAAGATGAACAGCTGTTGATTTCAGCCGCCATTGCAGCAACACAAGCCTAAGGACATGCACCTAAGATTCTCAGCCGAAGGTTACCATTTGAATGTCCCTGTGTTCTGACGGCAAAAGTGTGTTGTGTGAAAAGATGGAATGCTGCGGCTTTCCTGCTCACCACCTTAGCACCTATGGAGGCAAATTCTCGCTAAAGCAAGAATAGCTGTGAAGTCACCAATCTTTGTTAGGCACAAGTGTATAAGTACAGTAGCGAAAGAACTAACATACCAAGCGTATCACGCATACCATGCTACTTGCCATTGGTGAAACCTTGCTTAAGGCTATTTACTGAATAAGAAAAAATTTGGGAGGCTTATCATTTAGGGCAAGAACGTGCAAATCCGTGCGCCAGAAGAGATCTTGACCATTCAGATAATCGCCATGAAGAGTGCACATGCCACAGGGTGACCACAGACACAGCCAATGCTTACTACTGAGGCCTCTGCATGAATTTTTACAGTGATTTGAGTGAACAGGAGCACAAATTTAGGTAAGAAGCTTGTGAGGTGTATATACTGGGTTGACAGGAACTGCATTCCATGCCCCAAAGTTCAATCGCTAAAAGTACGAACAATGAACCGGAGAAATGCATGAACTGTTGCGGAAAACACGCTCGCAGTTCTTAGGCCGTGAGCTGGAACACCTGTCTAATGGTGCGCGCGGTAGAAGCGGGTGTGGATGCAGGGTAACCATGGAAGCGTTTTGTCGCATGGTGTTCTACATTTGCTGTGAACAAAAGCAACCAGTCGCTGACCTGGCGTAGCGACATTTAGATTGAGCGGCATAGGAAATATGAATTGGCTTCACCACTACAGTTGCCTTGATTTGGCATTTCCGGCAAAGGGTATTGTATATATGTGTGCACACTTCTTGTCTAAGTTAACATACACTCACCTGCCCTAGTTTGCCTTCCCCACACCCCTCCATTCGCCAGAAAATATAGTCAAAGCGTAGCGCATAAATTCTCCTTTTTCTTATCGTAATGAAGGAACTCACCTTTCAAGGGTGCTCCTCACTCAAAAAAGAAAGAAAAAAGGACTCCAGTGTCACTTTGCTATCCCTGCCGCAAAGTACATATCTTACACCATGCCCTGCATTCAGCAAAAGTTCGTGCCATTTTACTTCTTTATTACTGGCTGAAATTGGCAAGAACCTGCGCTTTGTTCCTGTAGCCATCAATGCAATAAATACTATTTGGTTCCGTGGTTTTTTTAAATCGATGACGGATAAGCACAGAAAACTTCAAGTGAATACAGTTAAACCCCTTTATAAGAGGCATGCTCTGAGCAGCAATTCTTGTATCTTATACGAGATGTCTTTTATAAGCACGGTACCACGTATGCATTTTCCTATCAACCCGTATTTTACTGTACGCACACTGGTGTCTTTTGTAGCCATTTGACTCTTATATTAGTGTCTCTTATGAAGGGATTTGACTGTAGTTAGCAAGCGCTCGCGTGCTCTAGGAGTGACCTTGAGGAGCGCCGTCATTGGTTACCGCTGAAACTTGGAGTGCTAGGAAATATACACACGGGTGTTCCTGCGTTTCAATGCCTTGGCAATGGGCCTACCGTATGCGGAAATCTAACCCGCGTACTAGAGCTATAGAGTGGAACACATGATCTTCTAAGGTATACCACACTCGGTTGGTCGGAGTGGGCATACCCTGCAAATTTTGCACTTGTAGCCTAATCTAGCAAGTTTAGAGCACAGAAAATGCGGTTGAACATCATGAGTTACTCTCGCGAGATCCACTTTTGCCGCACCTTAATTCGACTGGCCCACATTTGATTGACGCGGAGTTTATGTTTATTTGTTGTGATGTTTGGTTCTTAGCAATGACAGAGAGGAACGCTGAGCAAAAAACAGTCTTTGTGTTATTCCATTGTGTGTGCCTTGTCTTCTATATATCCTGTTTATTGCTATGGATTTATACCAACAGATTCTGCTAACCACACTTCTTGAAAACTGGACTTTCTGCAAAAGAAAAAAAATGGCCCCATATCTGCATGTTTCACTGCAAATGTCATCGAAAGACGATAGTCGCGTGCGGGGAGAGAACAAAATGTTTATTTGATGTTCTGTGCGAGAAAATCGGTGAATTGTATTCTGGAAGCACTGCGTTAGAGAGTCGGGATTCGTGCAGCGAAGGTGAACGAGCACTATCTGGCAGTTAGTTAGCTTCAAAAACGAAGGAAGGCGTGCGCACCCACGGAGAAAAGTGTGCGCCAGTCTCGGAGGTGATAAGATGTAGAACGCAAAGGGACGGGCAGGTGCCACCACCGTGTTGTCTTAGCAAAGCGTTGGAAACACTTGCCTTTTTGGGCATCGCGTTGCACTGTCAGCGCAGCGTGATAAACGCTACAGTCCATAGAATTACTTATGTGTGCCTTGTACAGTATAAAGGCACTCATACAAAATATCGACGTGTTGTTATGGTGCCTCAGATATGTGCAATGATTGCTTTTTAATTGACAATCGCACAACTATGAACGCTGAAACTTGAGCAATATTGGTGGGCGCTGCGGCTGTGGTTGGCCGTTTGAGGTATTGTTTGGTGCCGTTTGAGGTATAATTAGTGCGGCCAAACAGACAAATGTACAGACAGACAGACAGATCAAAATTTAGGCATCAAAAGTCCCCAAGAAAGACTATCGTCTTTAAAAAAGAAAAGGGAGGTGATATTCAAAACATGCTTCACTCACGCAAGTCTACTCACTTCGCTTGTATCGCACACGCACTGTTGGCGTTTCTGCTTTCTTTTGTCTGTCGTTGCTCACCCCTCGGAGCGGGTGGTGTGGGGCTAGTTGGGTGGGGACATAAAAGGGGGCATAATTTCAAGTTAGAAAAGACTTCCTCCTCTGAGGCAAAAGCTTTCGCACGCCACCTTCAGAGAGACGGAAAGTATTTGGATTCACTGCTTTCGTTTTGTTCATCTGGATGGCGTCAGAGAAAGATTTTCATTTTAGTGATAACAATGAAGCAAATTTCTCTGTGGTCATGCAGTATTTGGTGTGATTTGTGTGTATAATTATATCAGGAGACTTTCACGAATTTATCCCAGCAGCGTTTGCAGTGAATGGAGTTGGGAGAGAGAGACGGGTCGGCGGTAACACGGCAAACCCATTTTAATATTAAACAAAATGGCAAACAGTAATCTAACTTCAAACTCAGCTCAAAAAAGAAACACGCACACAGTAATCAGCTATCCAAGGAAACCTTAATTAACTTCGATCCAAGACAAGTCCAATCCTTTGCCCTAATTTGTCTCTAGCCAAGATGGCGCCTCGATGGCTACTCTCATGCGCTCTCGCAATAGTAGAACATTCTTACTGTCCCACACTGCTACTACGATGAAGTGGTACCATCGTCGAAGTCATCCTGAAAGACGTCGCTGAACGAGCTGCTCGTCTTCATGGCCAGTGTCCCGGTCTTATACGTCATCTTCGGCCCGCTTGGTCTAGCCCAACTCGTCCATGGCCTCATTGATGACGCACTCCGATGACTGGTGTGGGCTTCATTTGTTCTGGCTCAAAGTAGAAGAGCTGTAGTCCAACCAGGAACTGCTGTTTAAGGTTGCGGCAAGCTCGGGTAGCCTCACTCAAGTCCGCCGAGCTCGACAGCCATTTCCCAGGCTCTTACATCGACATCCTTCAAAACCGGGTAGCTACTGCTTTCGTCGCTGTAGTTACGCTGACCTTCCTGACCTTCACAGTTCAAAGCTCCACAGCACAGAGACAGCTCATCCTCCGGGATTTGCCATTACGACTCGGGTCCCGAGCCTCTCTGTCCGATCTCGTATGTGAACCATCGGGGGTGTCGCGCACGTGCGCCGCATTCCAGTGCCCGGCACGTGTCTCGTGCTTTTTTACTGATGACAAAAATGGGAACTATTATGTAGTAAGCTATGCGTGCTAAGATTTCAAAGCCGTTTGAAGATTACTGTGGTTTGGTTGGCGTTTGGGGCATAATACATTGAGACAAACCACGAGCTTCATTTAGCATTTCTGCTAGCTTTATTGAAAAATGCTAGGTCGAGAAAATATATGGGGGCTCTAGTTTGTCTGTGTGCAAAATCAGCCACAGAACTTTCGTAGCTTTCCATGAAAATGGGCAGAGGTAGATTCATGTGTTGTGAATATTGCCCAATTTATATCACTATAATTAAAAATCAAAGTGCATAAATGGATGACGTAAACACTCCGATGGGAAATGTTATTTTCTATATATATCTCGAAAACGAAGCTCCTCAAGCGAGTAGTTAGCGTATAGTCTACTGCTGAAGTTTTTAAATTTGGCTCCTTTCAAAAGATGACCAACATACGATAAAAAAGAAATCTTACATAAATTTGCTTTATTGAGGAAATAGATAAATATGTCCTGAATGTACTGTGAAAGAAACGGTGCTCTAACTGTAGCAGACTTTTCAGGAAATAGTCACAACTGAAGCACAGTCAGCAAAAACTGCGTAATTAGCACTTATTCTTACCTTGCCATCCCCAAACAGTTATGATTGACTTGACTTTAATAGACATAATTAAAATATTTGGATTAAGCTTTTCAACGATGTATAACTAAACTATATAAAACAAAGAAAACAGCCTTCAGGCCAGTTGTAAACGTGGTAAAAGTGGCATGTGTGCCACCAGAGTGAGATCGCCGCCTTAAAAAGTGTGTTTTCGCTTGCATGCATTTTTCCGGACTGCCCAATTTTCGAGATGTTTGCGCGGTCCCTTGGGAGTCAGGGAAATCGGACGTCGCTGTATATTGGTGAGCTTGTTTCGGGAAGTAAAGAAATTTCGAGCTTGTTCACTGGCCCTTTAAACATGGATGTTCATGAACTAGCCCATTTTGTCATCTTGTTGAAAAAGAAGCACAGCTATAGTGACGTGCAGTGAGTAAATCTGCCGAGTGATGCTTGCTGCAGGGCCGACAAGGAGGTGGGCGCCATGGAGAACGCTCACGACTCGTGCGTCTGGTCTCTGGCCTGGCACCCCTTGGGGCACATCCTCTGCTCAGGCTCTAACGACCATACAAGGTGTGTTTTAATTGTTTTCACATAGTCGAATACGAGTTATGTGATTTGCTAATGGTACTATATTGTGACGGAACCTTAATTATTCAAAAATATCTTCATTCTAATTGACAGCTAGTTGAAACTTCACAGCTAGTCGGAGCAAAGTTCTGCGTTCTTGAAGGGCTTCAGTGAATCGGTTAATTTGAACTTTAAAAGTTGCTGAGCAGTTACTTTAAAGGTGTTGAGACATCATACTTGTGACTTGCTCACTTTGTTTTAAGTGCTCCTTATTTCTCCAGGAAGTATGACGCATGTTTGAAGATTAATAGTTTTTCGGTGAATACTTTAACATCACATTGTTTATGAGAACATCTTTTGTATATGGTTACTAGGAGTGACATTGCTCTCTAGGAAGCGTTGGCCCCTTTTCCCTTGCCAGGATTTTTTTGCTTCCCACTTTTGCGCGACACATTTTGATGCCTACAGAGCAGTTTTAAAGTTGCCAGACAATGGCACTAACACGTTTGGACGCTTTTGACAACTGCATTTATAGACACGTTTTTTTGTTTTCAACAAGGGTACACAGGGAAAAAATGTTTAAAAAGGCAACACATGTGAAATCACGCCGCTGCCGAGAGTGCACACCTTCAGAAAGCAAGAGTACTTGCAGTAATAATTTTGTGCTTGCCTGGTTCATCTTTGCTTCATCAGGTGACACCACTTATCTAACCTCTCACGTTAAAAAGCAAAAAAAAATTTTTTTGGACATGCCAAATGCTCAAATGCTTCTTTGCAGGTTCGTGTGGCAATGCAAGGCACTTTGCCAAATACCTACAGATACGTCGGCAATACTCAGAGAAAGATGTGTAAATATGGGTTTGCAGCCAATGCCTTCTAGGCCTGCCTAGTGTGGCATTGCTGTAATGGGGGTGGCACTGCACATTGCACATCACTATGATGTGGTTTTGCCCTTAATCATGAGAACAAGAATTTTGGCTCACCTTGGTGGTCAATTGAAATGTATTCAAAATGCTGTGTCCAGCACTTGTTGTGAAATGTCTTTCAGACGAATTCTACAGCAGGCTTCTCATACATGTTTAGGCTGGATAAGGTCAACTAGCCCAGTTATCCGTGCTACTGGAAAGCTTTTTATCCACACAAAATTGGTTACCTTAACCCTTTTATGTAGGCTTGTGCAAATACTCGAGCACTTTGAGTGTTCGAACGAATATTACAGTATTCAAGGCTGCCTTGATTCGAACTTAAATTATTGTGAATTTCGAAGTATACGGAATGAGCAAATAGAATACAGCCAAACCCACTTATAACGATATTGGTTTTAACAATGTATTGGTTATAACGAAGAGCAGCTACAGCACCGTCATCTTTTATGTTTTTTTTATGGTGTTGTAACCCGCTTGCAGCAATGACCGATGCAGCATTATTGGTTATAACAAAGAATTATGTCTTTCGGGTGTGGAGTGTGACATCTTTGAAGCGAAAGAAGAAAACGACAAGTTCAAGCTGCTGAACCCCTGCCACGTTTCCCAGCACCCCTTTGGGTTCGTCGTATGCTTTTCCACATGGCATTGCATAATTGCAATAAAGCTGACATTTAAAATTGGTTAGAGCTTGGTGATGATAACAAACTTCGTTTAAAGACAGATCTGTGGATTGCATCGAATAGGCTTTGCTGGTGATCGGGGCCCGTAGTCCAGGGCTCAGCTGGCTCTTGTCATCCGCTCTGCTCTCTGGGCGAGCCTGATGGGGTCATCAAGGGCCAAGCTAAAGAGCAGTTCCCCCAGTGCTGTGGTGGTGTTCGAGGTTGTGTAGTGTGCACTCCCACTTAATGGGGTACAGGGTTGGTGTGGCCCTGCACCATAGGAATTTATTCCGGTAAGATGTGGGCTGCATGTGATGTAGGGTCTAGGTTTGAAATCTATGCCAGGCAGGGGCCTCCTTTGTCATTAGCTCTTGTGGAGTTGATGGGCACCGTAGCTGTGGTAACTCAATATTGTGAATACTGGAGGTATGCATGGGAGTGGCGGTTGCTTCTGTCAATGAATTTTGGACATGCAGCTTGAGTAAGAAGTTGAGACTTGGAAGAGTTTTGGCATCCGAAACTTGATATGTTATCATACACAGCCTCTATGTTGCTTGTCCTGCAATAGGGTCTAAATTGTCAAGGATGTAGTGAAACCAAGCAAATTATCAAGCATGCAGCAGAACCAAAAACAATAGGTGTAGCATTGGCAAAATGGGTCTGATAAGAAACTGCCGGTATCCTAATTGTTGCCATGAAAAAAAAAAGCAGATACTTTGGTGGGACAGCTGCTGAGTTGGGAACATCACCAGTGCAATGTGCTTGCACAAGACTGGAGATTATTGGAAGAGGCTAAAAATGATACATTCTGTGTAGGGCTAATTAGTGTTTTAATTATTTGAAAGTAGTCCTGAAGAAATGCTTCTTTCTCGGTATGTGCCCTGCTTCCTTCTTTTTTACAGCAAGTTTTGGACACGCAATCGACCTGGGGACAAAATGCGGGACAAGTACAACCTCAACACTCTGCCCAGAGGTCTGGATGACTCGGGAGAGTATGGTGCGTTTTGTTGTTTCTCTTTTTTTTCTTCTGCAAGTGAATTGAGTTGGTTTATTTTAATAAGGTAAAAGCACCTTTGACGTGAATAAAGCTGTATCTTATCAAGACTTTCTCTAAGTTGAGTTGTATAGGCCGAAATCTCGGCATTTCCAGTAGAGTACAGCCCTCTCTGGCCCAGCTCTTAGGCCAGGCCCATAAAGACAATGTGGGCCCAAGCATAAGAGCTGTGGGCTATAGTTGGACTTGGGCCTCAGTCTGGCTCATGGTAGGCCTCAACCACTTTGTAATGTACATGCAGCATTTCCTTTCCCTTACATGAGGTGTCTCTTATAAAGATAAGCAGGATACCACATTTGTGTTTTTTTATGAACCCTTATTCTGGTCCTGTCACATTGGTGTCTCTTATTTCGGGGCTAAAGGAGGCAGAACCGTCATCGTGCTAGTGTGGATAGGTGGCCGGCGGTGCGCATACGAATGTGGGCTACGACGCTTTTATCTGAGTGGTGTTAACCGATTGTCAGCGAATAAGCTGTGTTGACTGCTGCCTACTCATCATATATATGTCGTCATTGCTTAACGGATCCACGAATCTTGCTAAACATTACTATTACTTGTGATATGAACGCAATCTACTATTGAAAGAGATGATCACACTTTCGGACTATGTCACATTTCTTGTATTTTTATTTTAAGTGTATAGCTTGTGTCTAGCCTACTATGAGCTGCTGCAACACGACTGAGTTTAATCTTCTAGCAAGAAGAGGAAATCGACAGAGGAATTTCCTTTCTTGACGTCCTGTTGGAGAGAACTTTTAGCGGCTTAACAACAAGCGTGTACAGAAAAGGTCTATTCGATTTGCCTGCACCACATAAACCAGTTCACGAGGTGCTGCACCTTGCCATTCGTTTCAGCGGTGCACCACTGATGACCTATTAACCCTGTCATTCGTTTCGAAAGGTGCAGAAGAGGTAAGCGCTAGTTCACAATTTTTCTGCACCTCATATGCTGACGGTGCCGGCTTGGTGCAGCAGCGTGCGCACCTGAGCAGACGACGCAGCTTTTTGACGTAGGCACCGTACCCATCTTTACTAACGCGATGTGTTTTGCCGAAATGTTTGCACCTCATAAACTGTACACATGTGTGCTTTCCTATCGATCAGTATCAGCTGAACAGTGTAAACTAAGCGAACAGAAATAAGGCCTGCACCTTTTCGGCACATCGTCATTCGTTTCGGCTGTCGCACTGTGCCTGCATCACTGAACTCGTGCTGCACAACTTCTGAACTTCGCGTGCGCAGCCGTGAACCGGTTTTTATTGGTGCAGGTAAATTGAATGGACTTAAAGCTAACGCACATGAGAAAGTACCTCAGCATCAACTCCCCACACCCCATCGGACAAAAGGGATTTGTTGCAGTGGCACTCTATTCCAGGACATTGCGTATCTGTTGCAGCCTTACGAAATATATAGAGGAACTACAGATTGTGACAAGGGCTCTTTTATTGAATGGTTACCCTGAACAGCTGCTCAGGACCCAGGAGCTCAACGCAGCAAAGCCCCGCCGTAAAATGGCGAATGAAAAATAAAGGGCAAAGGGCGCTGCAATTCTGTACACACTGGGTGCCCACGAGGTTCTAGCAAGAATTTTCAAAGGCCATAGTATTCAAAGAACCCTCGTGCCTACTGGAGAACTACGACATAAAGATTGTTGACTCAAAGGAACCTCTGCAGTTTACCGCCTTCTTGGGCGCTATCTATAAGATACCGTTTGAGAACTGTGACATTTCGTACATCAGCGAGAGCGGGAATTTTCAAGGCGTTTGAAGCAACACAAAAACTACGTCACCAAGCGCCACACAACTGCAAATGCCTTGGCATATCACCACAATCAAACTGGCCACAGTATTCACTCAGACACAGCTGCTATCGTCATGATGGAAAGACACTTACCGTATTTACTCGAATCTAGGCCAACCCCGATTCTAAGCCGACCCCCTAATGTCCGAAGCCCGGAAAACAAAAAAAAAAGCTTACCTCAAATGTAGGCCGAATGAAACAGCGAAGACCGAGTTCACAAAGAGAAAACATTTATTAAACATGACGATGAAACAATGGGAATGGTTCCTGATGCAAATAACAGAAACATACAGCCTCTAGTCCTGTTGTGTGTGTTTCTTTGACGTCGTGTTGATGTTTTTTTGTTGTTGTTTTCACGCTGCTTCTAGTTCGATTTCGTACTCATTTTGAATTGTTGTTGCTACTTCCCTCATCGCTGACTTCTTTGTCACTGTCTTCAAACAGAGTGCAATCCTCGGTGCCATCAAGCGCATTGAATATGTTGCACCTTTTAAAAGAGTGCACAATCAAAATTGTCCCACACTGTAGCCCCTCCAGTGCTGCACATTTTTTTCATCTGCTCCAAAGTCCCACCCGGCTTGAGCGTCGGACGACAACTTTGTGGCTAGAACAACTTTCCTTTTATAGGCGGCACAGCCTGTTTGGAGCCATTGAGCTACGCCACACACAGACCACTCGAAGCGCAACTCGAAATGACAAACGGCGTGCCTCAACATTCACCACAAAGATCGAAACGGCGGCCAGGTGTTGACTTGGCTAGAAATGGCTATAATACCGCCTAGGTTGCGCTAGTTGTGCACCACTTTTCTTCATGAACAATAGCGTGTTTTTCAAAACCCTCGAAACTAAGCCAACCTTGGAGTTTGATGCAAAAAAATTTGAAAAAAAATTGTCGGCCTAGATTCAAATAAATACGATATCAGCCTGTTTTTTTTTTAGTCATCTTGCATTCAGTCAACTAGCCGCACGATAAACAGGTCAAATGGCACTCTACCACAGGTATACACACACTCTGCACCATCTGACCCATAAATAGCCGCAAGCCCATACTAACATTTTCATTATTATCAAGGGATTTGTACTGGGCCAAAACATCAACTCTTGTTTTCATTCTTTCCTTTGCGAGTGTATGATTCCTCGCCGGACGATTGTTCGTCAAACGCTTGATTATGAAAACCATGAGGCAGCGTAGTCTCATAAATGACAAGTAGTAGTTTTTTGTGAGGTCACCCACAGTTTAAATGTGCATAACATGCTCTGTGTACTTGTGTCTGTCTGTCTGATCCTCTGGCATATTTACAGAAGGAACGCTGTTCCTTCGTAAATGCAGTGAGTTAAACTTAGAGTTCATCTTTAACAACGTGGTGCCATTCCTCTGTTACTCCAAAAAGGATTAGTTTCTGGAAGGTTGTTTCTTGAAATACCGTTGTGTCACACTCATCTCAAAAAGGTTAGCGCAAAGTATGGTGTTCATGTGGTGTTTACCGCAAGAGATAAGTGAAGCAGAATTTGGGGGGTGGTCGAAAGGAAGGTGGAGGGCACTGTACCAAAGGAGTTTCAGTGTAAGGTTCAACACAAGGACAGCTGATCACGTTGTGGTCTTTCTTGTAGTGGCGACTACATCAGGCCGATGGACTGCTGTCTTAATAAGAGGTTCAACGACCACTGCTTGTTGATCTGAGGACAGCCTTCGACAAACCTGTCACTGCAATTCTGGAACTGATATTGCTTCGCAGTTTTCCAAGGAACCAAGATTCTTGTGCAGCACAACGAATATACAACACATGAACTTGAAGCTCATTATATTTTTAAACCAGAGACAACTGCGTCACCAAGCCCTTTGTAGCATTATGCAAAGCAAATATGCAGTATCTTTATGCACACATGAGGGTTCCTTCTAGTGTTGAATTTGCCCCGCCGGGGTGGTCTAGTGGCTCAGGTACTCGGCTACTAACCCGCAAGTGGCAGGATCGAATCTCGGCTGCGGCAGCTGCATTTTCGATGGAGGGGAAAATGCTGTAGACTCGTGTGCTCAGATTTGGGTGCACGTTAATGAACTCCAGGTGGTAGAAATTTCTGGAGCTCTCCACTACGGCGTCTCTCATAATCATATGGTGGTTTTGGGATGGTAAACCCTATGTATCCATCAATCTAAAGTTGAATCGCGGACACATGGTTCCTGCCCTACATATCTTGTGCACTTTCAATAATCTTTTCAATTTCTGGGTAGCATGCTTAACAAAGTCCGCCACACTGCTCATCGGAAATTGTTACCGACCTCCTGACTGTAAACATTCATTTTTGGAAGAACTGCGCAGTAGCATCACTGAGGCCATCCATCTCTGCCATACCGATTCCATATTCATCTTTGGTGATTTCAATTTTCCCGCGATTGACTGGAACCAGTTGTCTTCCCCTTGCCGCATGTCTACAGAATTTATCAACCTAACCTTAGACTTTAACTTATCGCAAATGGTAAATCAGCCGACTCGTGGTTCAAACATCCTCGACCTAATTCTCACCTCTGCTCCTGAAACAGTAAACACCATGCTGAACATAGATGGATTCAGCGATCATTGTCTTCTTCAAGTAACCCTTACCATTCAACCACCTTTCTCTGGCATTGAACATAAAAAAATCCGCGATTACAATAAAGCTAACTACAGCAAAATCAACTCCGAACTAGAAACCTTCTTCAATGACATATTCCTGCCATCCTCTTCCAGTCGTGACGTCAATGATAACTGGATGCTGTACAGAGACAAATTATGCGCACTGGCAAACCGGTATATTCCACTTGTTTCGGTCAAAAATGATAAAACAAACCCCTGGTTTACTAAATCCATCCGGCAGCTCAGAAATAAAAAGAAGCGTCTATGCCGCGCGGCCAAACGACTTGGTACGTCCTCTGCATGGGAGGCGTACAAAAATGTTCTGAAAATATACTGTTCCACAATTAAATCAGCTAAACAAAAGTATTTCTCTAATGATTTGCCTTCCCTTCTGAAATCAAATCCTAGAAAATTCTGGAATCAAATATCTGCGGAAAACGATGTTAAACAGATTTCCTTGCTAGATGATCACCATGCTCCCCTCTCAGATAGTCATTGCACCTCAGCATTTAACACCTTCTTTTCATCCGT